AAGACTAAGATAAAAGAATATTCTAACAAGTGGAATGATACCTCCAGATCTGGGATAGGGTAACTCAATGTCATAAAGACATTAAATTTCCCTAATTTAAATTATACTTTCAACACATGACCAGTGATTGGGTCAGGCTATGTGCCAATATGACTTTTAATCCAATGATGTGCACTATTTCCCCCTCAACATAATCTTACCAGAAACACAAAGAGAAAATTTTTAATTAGACAAGCTGATTTTGACTTTCACATGGAAGAATAAACAACCAAAATGAGGGTGGAAATTTTTGAAATTCAAGGGTAGTGACGGATGACTTGTTTCAAGAGATATTCACAAATATATCATTATTTATTAGTTGGTTTTTATTATCTTTTATCCTGACTAAAATACAAGAAGCGGGCAGCCTCAGATTATCTTTTTTTTTAAAGATTTTATTTATTTATTTGACAGACAGAGATCACAAGTAGGCAGAGAGGCAGGCAGAGAGAGGAGGAAGCAGGCTCCCCGCTAAGCAGAGAGCCCGATGTGGGGCTCGATCTCAGGACCCTGGGATCATGACCCGAGCCGAAGGCAGAGGCTTTAACCCACTGAGCCACCCATTCGCCCTCTCAGATGATCTTGATGTTAAACAATTGTCTCTGATCTCAATTTTTGTTTTGTTTTTTCAGTAAATGCCCTGACGATAGGGCTTTCTCACAGCTACCTCCCAGTCAGGTTAAATAAACAATGTCCTAGAACGAGACTTTTTCAGGGAGCTGTAACAGGTGAAATAGTGTCAAATGCTCTAGGTTGGGACTTTCAGCCTGGTCTGCCATAGCCACACGTTTGCACTGTGAGACTGCTTCCTTCATGAGAGCCTTCTGTACCTGGATTGCCCTCGTCCGACTTCAACCTCCCTGCCTCATGGCTGTGTCATCATCCTCTCGCAGAAAGCCTTGAGAACCAACCCCAGATATCCAGGATCAGAATCCTTTCCTATCTCCCAGCTTCCACATGGAACAAGACTCAGCTACCCTCTGTGCTTTGACTTTTCAGGGTGGCAGGCACTGACGAAGGAGTCCATGACAGGGACTCCCTCCTTCAATGGCTGTGTGTAAGCCCAGGTCAGACTCAGCTTACAAGGTCAATAGTGGACCAAAAGATGTATCATAAGAAAATATCCAGAATGAAACACAAAAAGAAAAACAGAGGAAAAATACAGGTGACATAAGACACATAGATGATTGTGTGAAAAGAAAAGATGACCCTTAATAGGAGTTTCAGAAGGACAGGAAAGAAAATGAAACAAAGCAATATTTGATTGAAGCAGATATTAGTTGAGAACAAACGGCTCACAGAGAAAAATGAAAGAAATCTACACGTAATAGCATCTTAGAAAAGCTATTGAAAACCAAAGGCAAATAGAAAAATTCTTAAACTATCAGAAGAGAAAAGCAAATTACCACCATAGTAGCAGTAATTAGTTCAAGAGCTGACTTCTCAACAGTAAAAAATAGAAACCAATAGAAAATAGAATATCATCTTCTATGTACTGAAAGAGAATAATTCCCGGTGGAAACGTCCTTGCCCTGCCGCAATATATTTCAAGAACGAAGATGAAAAAAGACATTTTTATACACACAAAAAAGAGAAAAACCTGAGAGAATTTGTCACCATCAGAATAGTAATTCAAGAAAATACTAACAAATATTCCTTAGGCCAAAGAAAAAAATTTAAAATAAGTGAAAAGTGATGGATTGGAAAGATATATGGGCCAATCTCAGAGAATACTGCCTTATGGGGTTTAAAATGCAGAGAGATTGGGGTGCCTGTGGGTTAAGCATCTGCCTTCAGCCAGCTCAGGTCCTGATCCCGGGGTCCTGGGATTGAGCCTGGCATCCGGGCTCCTGGGCTCCCTGCTCAGCAGGGAGTCAGTCTGCTTCTCCTTTTTCCTTTGCCCCACCCCCCCATTTGTGTTCTCTCTCCCTCAAATAAATGAATAAATCTTTTAAAAAATATGTATGATAATAGTAAGAGGTTCAATTCACTAGGAATATGTAACAGCTATTGTTTTATGCACCTCTTAACAAATTAAAAATATATAAGGGCAATTGGAGAGATACTCTAGGAGAAATAGAATTGCAAACCCACTATCATGGTAGAAGATATTTAATACAGTTTTCTCAGCGACTGATAGAACAAGCAGAAAAAGAATCAGTAAGGAAATTAAATATTTTTCATAGCAAATAGGGTCTAATGGAGATGCACAGAACACCACTAACAATGAGTGAAGAATGTATATTCTTTGAAGGCGGGAGGAGGGATTGAAATGAAAATGGAAAAAAGCACGGGGGAGGTGATTTTGGGGTGATGGAAATGCTTTATTTCTTGACATGAGTGGAAGGTTCTTCCCATTTTCATTTGAACACTTTCCTATGAGTAATATATCCAACAATGGGGGGGGCGGGCTGTTTAATTTTGTTAAACTGGCAAAGTTTAGTATTTACAGATGCAAGCTTTGTCAGTGAAACTAAAAAGAAAGGGAAGAGATTATTATGAAAGTCAGGATAATGGTGACCTTTGAGAGGGAGGAAGAATATTGTGATTAAGAGGGACCGGGTGTGGGGTTTCAAGGTGGTTGTCCAGTTGTATTTCTTTTAGTGGATGATAGTTCCAAGTTTTCTTTTTTTCTCTAGGATAAGTCATTGAGTTGTGCATTTCTGTGAGGTCCTGATATATATGTATATATCGCAATTAGATCAGAGTGTGTGTGTGGAGGGGGGTGTTCTGGGCTTGGGGGTAGCCTTGTCTTTCTGTACCACAGAGACAGGTGCAGCACAGGCTTGGCCTTTGCTGTGTTTACTTGTCCCCGGTGCTCACAACCCGCCCGATTCTCACAAGGGAAGTAAATGGCTTCATCATTTCCTTGGAATCATCCCTTGTCCTTTAAACTGCCTCCGTTCTCTCATAGGCCCCATCAGCTCTCATCGGTGTGCATTTCAGCCTGGTGTACTCTCCTGGCAGACTGGCCCATGGTAGCCAACCAAATCTTCCAGAGCCCTTTGCCAACTCCTCTGTCAGAGTCCCACTCCCACTGTGCCTCCTGGCCAAATCAGTCACTGGATGAGAGAGTTTGGGAGATCCACAAGAGGGAGTATTTCTGGAGATGTCCCAGTGAAAGGTTCTATTTCAGTACCTATATGTGTACCTCTTGAATCCCCATATATACCGTGCTCTATACTGAGCTATAGTATATAAGGAAACTGGTGATACATGTAGAAAGGAGATATGAGACGTAGACAAATGAAAAATTAGGACTACTTGATTTATTAATTAGCGTGGAGAAATTACCACAGATGAAAGTGATAAAGTTGTGGAACAAACAATGGGAGAACTGGATTATGCGCTTAGAATGGTATTAGAAAAATGCAGATTTATATGAGCTGTGTTGGTATGGGAAGGCTCCAGACACCAAGAAAGGGCCTGGCATTAACCCAATGAATATTATAACAGCCCAGTGAGATGATACTTATTGGCACATTCATTTAACAGATGAAAAAACTGAGGCACAAAAATCATTGAGAGTCCCCAGACCTGTACCCCTGAAACAAATAATACATTATATGTTAATTTAAAAAAAATCGAAAGTTATCCAGCTGATAGGAGGAAGTGACAGTATATGAATCCAAACAGCAAAGGTCCAGCCCAGCAATGTGACCACCAGCCATAATGCCCAGTGGATAAGTAGTGATTGGTAGTGCCTCTCGGACACGTAGAAATCTAGGGCATTGGCCTGGGATAAAGTGTAAATGGGACAGGAAAGATTAGTGACACAAAGATGAAGGAGGCATACAAGATCTGAGAGACGAACTGTGTGGTATTGCTCATCACATACCAGGCATTGAAAAGGTCCAACCTGTGACCATCCACAGAACCGTCAGAGGGACAAACCTTAGTGACAGGTGTCAAAAAGGTTGCAGCTCCTGGACCGGATTCACATCAACAGCTCCAGTCTTGCTTCTCTTCTCTCCCCCTGTGGATTAACTTCCCAAATCCATCCCTCTGCTGCTTGCTGGACAAAGCCTACAACAACTCTCCTGCCCTCTAGATATTTGTGAAATTCTTACCCCCCAACCCCAACTCTGGAAGAGTTCAACCCCAAGCCTACTCTGGGTTTGTAAATGAGCCGCCAGGCTCTAGTGGAAAAGATACCCATCTAGGCCAATGGCCATGTCCTTGGTGCTGCCCCGCTATCAGGCAGGCTGTCTGTTTCTGCTGTCTTCCTTTCCTTACCCACAGTTTGGAACTAATTTTACTTTATTTGGTTTTGCTGTTTCTCCAGAGTTCTATTTGCGGCCTACGAAGCCATCTCTAACAGTTGGAGCCACTGCGATACTCCAGGTATGTTAGTCAGTGTTATCGAGACACACAGAATGAACAGGAGGTATATATCTACATCTGGATTTAGATAGATAAATATACAGAAATTTATTAGGAGGAATTTGGTTCACACATTTATGGAGGCTGAGAAGTCCCATGATCTCCTATCTGCAAGCTAGAACCCCAGGAAAGCCAGTGGTATAATTCAGTCTGAGTTTGAAGGCCTGAGAACCAGGGGAGGCATGATATGATTCCCAGCCTAAGGGCAGGAGAAGATGAGATGAGATGTTCTACCTCAAGTGGTGAAGCAGGAGAAAAGGGGACAATCCTTCCTTCCTCTGCCTTGTGTTATATTCAGACCTCCAGTGGATTGGATAACGCACACCCCACTTCAAGGGAGGTCATCTACTTTCCTGAGTCACCAATTCAAATGCAAATCTCATTCAGAAACACCCTCACAGATCCAGCCAGAAATAACCTTGAATCTGGGCATCTCATGGCCGGTCAAGTTGACCCAGGAAATTAACCATCATGGTGAGTAGGGCAACATCATACACTATCGCATAACATTGTTCACACAATAAAGCCTCACAACTCCTCCCAGACCCTGGCAAATAGGGGAAGGATAGTGCTAGCAAGAGAGCGTCCTTCCCGGGCACAGTGTGCACTGTGTGTGTGAAGTCTGACTAATGTGACCCAGTGGTTATGGGGTCCACCTGCCACGATAGAGTGAAGGGAGTTGAACATTCAAGGTCATCAACCCCAGGGGAGTTGTACCTCCCAGCTTGTACAAGAGCAACTACAAGAATTACTCAGCAGATGGCCTCCTGAAAGGAAGTGGACCTCCAGTCTCACCTTGAATAATTGTGAAACTTAGTGACTTTCACACCAGACATATGAAGTTTCATCCTACGGCAACAAAAGAAATAGCTTTTCTTGGGATTTGAGGAGGGAACATGAAATCAAAGAAGGAATCAGAGAACTGAGTTATGTATGCCTTGGCCTCAAAGAGATGGCAAGATTTCTACAGAGAGAGAGGGTGGAAAGGATATGAAAATCCTGAAAAGGGTGGCTGGAAGTTGTTTGAATTTATGGCTGGGATGAATCCTGGGAGGCTCCTGCAAGGTACCTTTTTGTCAGTTTTCCCTGGACTTTCCCCAGACTTCTGCAGCCTTAACTGACTTCACCAAATTTCCAGGTGCAAACCTTGGGTCCTTCACACTGTGCCCAGCCCAGTACTGTCTGATCCCATAGTCCACATGATTCCCCTGCTTCTCTGCTCTGATCTTTCCTCATGTGCATATATAATAGCAAGGAAGAACTGACATTGACCTCTACGGACGGAAGGGGTAAAGCATGGAAGGCTTCCTGGAGGAGGATGCAACTGAGCTGGACGGGGATGAACTCTGTTAGCAAGATTTCCAAAGTCTGAGATGACTAGAACTGAAGGAAAAGGCATGTGCAAAGGACTAACTGGGGGAGTTGGGCATTGAGGGATGGACATAGGTGTAGAAAGACAACAATATGAGCAAAGATTTGAGTAATTTAGCAGGACCTGGAAATATGGCAGTTTCTCCTCATAGACCTGAAGAGAGTGGACAGTCTGCCTGTCAATCATTGTAGCCCCTCCAATGATGATGTTTGAGGGTGGGACCATACATAGAAAGGAGGTTAAAGAAGCCCTACCACGTGAACAGGCAAGTTTCCTTTAAAATTTGGATTGTATCTTGCGGCTTCCGTGGACCGTTCCACTAAGGGATTATGGAAAATGGCGGTTACCTTTTCGGCGATCTCAAAAAATGTAAGTTTAATTTACTTTATTTCATACTTGGCTGTTTGTTAAATGTGATTTCGAGAGAATCGGACCCATGGTGTGTCCTAATGGGCTTTGACAGATGTGTCTCACGGGCTTCTGGATTGATGACAAGGAAAGGCCCGTTAGCGGCCTTCCGGGGCGGGCGCGGTGTTGAGCTTTATGTAACAACATGATGAGTCTTACCGATCATCTTGTTTGTTTAAAGGTGGGTTCTGAACCCACCACCATTCGCGGTCTTCATGTTTTGTTTGGTTTGCAACCTAAAAAAAAAAAAAAAGAAAGAAAGAAAAGAAAAAGGACAAGAAATGGTGCGGTTGCTGAGCCTGCGTGGGCCCAGGACAACGCGACGGCCGTTGGCTGCCAGGGCGCTGATTTTGCTTTTTATTGTACAGTGTTGTTGGGTGGGTATTGGGTTGGATATTGTATAAATCTTGACCATTTTCGCGAAGTGTCTTAGTGACAGAATTTCTGTTGTTTTCGATCTGGAAGAAAAGAAAGTAAGGCCCAGAGAGGCATGTCTGTGATTAGGACAGCTGATGCCTGCCTTTGAGCACAGTTTTGTTTTTCATTTAACGACATGACTGTTTGTTTAATATCATTTGTTTAAAATTTGAAGTGGTCTTTTTCATATGTTGCTTTAAAAGGGGGTGGGGGAATCCTGATAATTCTAACGTGAAAATGAGTGAACAGCCGCTTGAGCGGCTCCGGGATCGTTTCACTGACCAGCGGGAATTGTTATAATTGAACGCTGTATTTTTATGTGATGTATCTATGTATTTAATGTCATTGTAGTCAACCAAAAATGGTCCGGAAGCTTTTCGTGTGTTTTCCATTAAAAAAAAAAAAGTGTTATTTACAGTTTTCGAATAAGAAAAATAGCGGTTTGTTTGGCAAGACCTTGTTGCTTTAAGTCCCTGATGGGAATCATGCCTGCAGGGGTCCTGTTTCTTGTTTTGTTTTATTTTATAATATAACGGCTGTGGGTTTTTGTTTTTTTTAACCTATGATATCAGAACTTTGCAGTAATTGAATTTGTTTAACTTTTATTTTAGCTGTGTTTCACAAATATTCTCCAAGTGAAAGTATTCTCAGTGTGCACTTTGGAAATAAATTGTCCAGCCGGACACTTGAAAATTTTACACTGTGTATGTCCCCTAGCCGCTCTCGTTAGCCAAGACTGAGCACTGTTTTGGCATTTGATTTTACATGTTCATCTTAATGCATTCAATTGAATTTTGATCCTGGCTCTCCTCATGCTTCCTTTAAATGATTGGGTGTAGATTTTAATTTACAGGGGAATGATTTAACATGTAAGTCAATTGAGTGCCTTAAGTTTATAATATAATTGCATGTTTGACATAACTTATTTTGTTAAATTCTGGTCTTGTTACCTATTGATAAATTTTCTGAAAAGTAAATGTTTTGAGAGGTGCCTGGCTGGCTATAGCCTGTGACTCTTGATTTCCAGGTTGTGAGTTCAGACCCCACATTAGGTATACAGATTACTTAAAAATAAAATCTTAAAAAATAATAATAAAGGTTTTGAGGTACTTTTGAGTTACAATGCAGTAATTATAATCAGTTGGCTAAGTCCTTGATTTATGACAGCGAATGCTTTTAACTGTTCAATGCCTGGCCGTTAACTGAGTTTGGGGCTCGTTTTACAGAAGAATTGTGTCTGGTATCACTTTATTCTATTAAATGTTTGTCCAGGCTTTCTTATAAGCTTTGTGTTAAAAATTTTCACGTTATCTTAAAAATTTACAAATGAGGAAAAGATGGTTCTAATTAACATGCTTCTTGCTTTACGACAGTTACTGGCTTCCGGCGTACCGGAAGCCCAACGTTTTTTTATTTTACCATTAAAATGTTTCTGTGTGTAAAAAACTGAGTCCTGTGTCTTTTATCTCATAGTTATACTTAAAATAAAGAAAGTTTTGTTTTTAATGTAAAAAAAATAACAGATATTGACCATTTAACTGAGCGGTTGCTATTTTACGACAGTGACTTTCCGGAAGTGCCTCTCACCGGCCATCCCTGGAAGTTGTTTACATCCTTGTGGGGTTTTATTTCTCGCAATAATTACATGTTGATTATCAACTTTATTTAGTTCAGTTGTGTTCTTAGTCTTTAGTGCATTTCCTTTGAAAATCGTGGAGCGTTTTCAATTTACTTAAAGGAAATTCACCCCAGAATGGATGCTTTCTGTTTTCTAAAATTGAATGACCCTTGCTGGTCATCCTGCATACTTTTGAATACTATTTTAGAACTATAATTGTGCTTGTGACATATTGTTATTTCTTTAAATGTTGGCCTACGTGCTCCTTCCCAGGTGTTCTCCCGCAGAAAAAAATTACTTGTGTAGTTTCTATTTACAAATGAAGTGGATATGCCGGTTTCTGTCCTGACCAGTCTGCCCCAGGACAACTCCAGTCCTCCTTGTTTGAGGTCCTGGTCTAGACTGGACTTGCTAATCTTCTTCCATCCTATCCCACCCCAATAGCAGAGGATATTGTCCCTGCCTCTTTAGCCACAAGAGCTGACTGTGCCTTAATGCCTCAATTGCTAGCATATTGGCTTAAGAAATAGTCAGTGCTTGCCTATTTATACTCCTGTCTCCATGCGTGACACCTAGTGTGTATTCAAGGGGAGAATTAAAGGTGTTAAGTAAAACAGTTACTTCCTTTTGATAATGGTGATAGTTGAGTTTGCCTTATTAGCCTTTTTGCTAATAAGTCAGTTCTTGGTATTGACTTGAATTATGTATATTAACTCATGTAGAAATAATGACTTGTATTGGTGGAACACTGAAGATCTCTAAATGTAGCTTGATTACATTTAGACATGTGAAAGATTCATTGCTGGTATTTGGGTTTTACTTTATCTGTCATTGGTACTGAAAGGAAAACAGATTTCAGGAACTGGGCACTTAACTAGTCTCACCATTCCTGAGTTTTGAGACAGAGTCCTAGATCTTGAACAATATCTAAGTGTGGAATGAACAATATCTAAGTGTGCTTTTATTATCCTAGGGGCATACTTGCAAATGAGGAGTGGATTCCCCAATCTGTCTGTTACTGGATGTCCCAATTTTTTCAAGTGTTTCCTCCTCAGAGACCTATGTTCAATGTCAGTTGGTAGTGATATTATGTAATGTATGAAATTCTTCATACAATTGTTCTGAATTAAACAGCTTATTTTTAGTTTTAGCAGTTTTTGATCTTACTATGTTACCAATTACTAAGACTAACATAACAACACAATTGTATAACTTGCATTTTATGGTCTACCCATTTGAATGATTTGTTATCCATAATCTTGCATGGTATATAAGTGTCAGTAAATTGGTAACAAAGTGAGAACACCACAACCCATTCCAAAGGTACCCACAATTTTTTATGAGTCAGTTGCCTTGTTCAGAGAAAAAATTGGAGTTCTGAGATATCCCCCCAAGCAAATAACTGGTGATACCTCTCAACCTAGTATTTAATAATTCCCTTATGATGTTTGATTAAAGTGGGATGAACTATGGTTCATTTTGAGGGGACAGTCAGGCCTCTAAAGCAGCAATCTTATCTTGTGGTTTGACTCATGCAGTTCCTGTCTTACATTATCTTTCACTCTTTTGGCCTACCTCAAACAGGCTGCATGATTGGGTACTCTGGCCCCACCAACCACTTTCAGAAATTCCCCTGGATAAGGGAAAGAGGAAGTTTGTCCCATCCACTCATCTTATGAGTTTCCAAGTTACCTAATTTTCCTGCAGTGGTGCTAAGCTGACCCGCCACAGGTAAGTCTTTTTGTAGATTTGTACAATCACTAACTCCTTCAGGATCTGTGATGTAGAAATCCAGTTCTGGTCAGCCTACAGGCCTGTAATGGGAGGAGAGGACCTAGACCCAGTTGTCAAGACCAGCCATAAGGTAAGTGCAACCTTATGCTGTGTGAGGCTACAGGTGTTGGGTGGAGAATAGCACCTGCTCCTCTGTCAGTTGTCTCATTATTTAAGATGGTGTTGAAATCCCTCCCCTGTCTCTAATTTGGAACTTCCAACAATGGCAGGGTCACTTCCTGGGTACTACTGATTAACTCTGTGGTAGAGACTCTGTGTCTCTGATTTCTTTAACTGGTCAGTGGCATCTTTTCCAGTCCTTACTTGAGTTTCTCTGTTTACTGTTGAATGCCACTCTTACAGACATGTTGGCTTTATTAGAATGTCAGATTTCAAACAAGCCTGATCTCGATGTTTTCACATCGCAGATTTGATCTGTCTTTCTATCCTTTTGGAAGACTTGTAATACCATGTAGATGCAGGAGGGATTGGATGAGCTTGTCCAAAACATGCTTCAGGAATCCAGAGATTGTGGGAGCACTGCTCAGGTGTTTTGTTTTGTTTTGTTCCAGGTACAAGTGTAATTTTTTATCATGGATCTGAATGCAGTTAAATCCAGCTCCATTTAGGAAAGGGGAAAAGATGAGATCTGTACCCCAGGTGGGTGCTAGAGATGGCCAATCTGCAAGTGTACCCCCACTATGGGTGGGTGGGCATTTATTTGGCAGCTCCTGGAAGCACAGGGTAACAACTCAACCAATATGTAGCCATACTCCCTTAAATATTTGCTCTTAAATATTTGTTAGCTGTTTTTTTGGCCTTGCAGATGTTCCTCATTTGCTTTGCAGATGTTGCTGAGACCACCCATTGTGTTTTACTCACAATAAATTTCTAGTATCTGAGTCTGAAAGACCCTTGGCTCTTTCTCACTCTCTTCTTTGAGCCTCAGCTTCTACATTTGCATGGTGGAAATCACACCTTGCTATCAAGTGTGATAGTCTTTAGAAAGTGCTCAGCACACAGTAGGTGCTGAAATAATTAGGCCACGGTTTCCAGAAGCCATATATTGGCCAGAACATTATGGCTTGGCTTAGCTCCTCTCCCTACCTGTCCAGACCCCACTTCCTTAGACTTTTGCCATAATTTCAGCTAAGTGTTTGTTTCCTTCCACAGGGCCAGCAGATATCCTCAGAGAGTATTGGGCATCTCTTTGGAAATCAACCTCTTTAATTCTGCTACAATGCCAGGAGGTTGCCCAGCAACGCACACTTTGCCTTGCTCTGAGCTGCGGTCTTTTGTGGCTCACTTGGACAGCTTACACTGAAGCTGACGTGTGTCAGCATCAAGTTGGGGCCACAGGGAGTTTGTTAACTGGCAGTGCCAAAAAGTTCTCCTCTCTTTGCTTCCCTGTGTAAAGTTACTTCTTTTCTGGGCACTGGTTAATTTGTTGAAAATCAGGTGAAAGCTTTTGACAGTGGGTCAGGAGAGCGTTGAGTGTAAATATGAATTACTCGAGGGTGCATTCAAAGGCACTTCTGACCTTTAGTTTTATAGATCACTCCGCCCTCTGTTGCTTTATTAGCACTGGTTTAATCCAGAAGGTGGCATCACAGAACCTGATGGGAACTCACCAAAGATTAAAAAAAAAAAAAAAACATTTCTTTGTGATCAGACACTAAAGTATGTAGCCTTTTTACAACATAGTGACTTTTTAAAGACTTCTCTATCCCTACAATTGGTTAAATTATTTTAAAGCTGTGGGAGGTAAAAACCTGAGGTTTGAGGTACTTTGCAAAACCTGTACCCAAACCCATGTTCCTTCCCCAGGTGGTGTGACAGTGACCAATACTGGCTTATCTGCTTGTCAAAAGCAGCTGTTCGATTGAACAACTGTGATGCCTCCTTCCCCTTCCACACACGCTTGTGCCCACCGCCCGTCAAAATCATCTTGGGTCATTTCATTGAAGGGAAGGGCTGGGGAAGGTCTAAATGAATGGTTTATGGGTAAATCTGCTGAGTACTGGTACTTAAAAATAATTCCAAAAGGGTGACTCTAACTGGTGGCATTTTCAAAGTCAGGACTCTCAAGGGGAAGAGAAGGTGACCCTCCTCAGAATTTAAGGTGGGACCTGGTTTGGTGGTTCTTCCCCAGGAGGCTGTTCCTGGGCCAGCCATATCGCCCGCCTTGTGAGGCCTGTACTCAGCGAATGTCTCCCCTGCAGCGGGAATGTCCGTGTGCTTTCAGTTCATGGTGTGAAGTATTCCATGTCAAACCTGTGTTTGCCTTAAGTGCTTCTTCATTCCTCTGATTTATGTGGGCGATGGAAAGAGGATGGATATTGAATGCTTTAAGGCAAGGCCTTTGAAATAGAGTATATTCCTTGTTACATGTAAACTCTTGGATGGCCAATAATATTTCATTGTAGATATATACCACATTTTTTTTATCCATCGATCTTGTTGATGAATGCTTGGGTTGCTTCCATGTCTTAGCTGGTGTGGATGCTGCCGCGGTGAACACTGGGGTTTGGATAAGCCTTTGGGATAGTGGCTTCTTTTCCTTTATATAAATATGCAGACATGGGATGGCTGGATTATATGGTAGTTCTAATTGTTGAGCAGCTGCAAGGCTGTTTTCCATAGTGGCCCTTCCAGTTGATGTGGGTGAACACATCTTGAACTAAATGGATTTCAGGGTTGGTTCTCCAGCCCCTTCTGATTGTCTGTTCTTTTAAGGAGAGGAACTAGAGAGGTTCGGGGCTTCACGGGGGCTCAAAGGGCATCTATGATCAGGATAGATGGAATGACTGATTAATAGGGTCCTTCCTTCAGGAGATGGGGAGAGGGCTGGGCAGAGTGGCCCTCCCTTTGTAAGAGCTGCCCTCAGAGCATGGGGAGAAAGCAGGCAGGAGGAACTCTGGGTCCCTGTATTGGACTTTTGTGTGTCCAAGGATGTCTTCTGCCTACTTCCCTGTCATTGGTTCTACTTAGGATCAGCATAGCTGGAGGACAAAAGGCCGATGATGCACATTATTAAATGTGACATGAGCACATAGGACCCTCTGACAAAGGTGAAATCCTTATGATGGGGTCTGTTCTTTATTTTCCCAGCTTCCCTGAGAATTTGGGACTTTGCTCCTGGGGAAGGCTTTGTTGTTTCTGCTTCTCTGTGCGCTGCCTTAGCCTGTGAAAAGTGGCCCAAAGAATGGCGGCCCTTCACCCCCCTGTACTGTTTTCTAGTCCGAGGGAGCCTTCCTAGAGGCGATTACTGTTGTTTCTGGCAACTAATCAGACATGGCTGGGTTGACCGCTCAGTCTTTCGTGTTGATAGTGACCTGTGTTCTCCCGGAGAGCTTAATGAAGGTGAACTGCTGCTGTTGGCATGTTCTTTAATTCACCGGCCAGACAATTCTTCCCCTGACATTCCCATGGCTCAAGTGACTTGTCAAATTCCTACAGAAAATGCATACTGGCTGGCAATGGCAGCGTATGGGGCATGGGACAGATTGGGTCCCAGGGAAGAAATTGGCCATGGCTGATTGTCAGACTTCTGTGCTCTGACACAAAGATATTGAACAGAGTAATGTCCACCGTGCAGAGCAGTGGCATATGTGGGATCTTTGGAATCCCGATTTTGTGTTTGGGACTGGGGTTGGAATTCCAAGCATTTCTCTATTAACTTCCTTCACTCTTCTGCTGAGTATACTCTGCACGTTGGTGGGAGGAGAAGCAGCGCGTGGGCGCTGTCAATGAACTGTACGTGAGTCAGGGGACATTTTGATCCTCATGGGCTTGTGCACGTGAACCTGGATGTCTGGGAACCTCCTGGGTCAGGTCTCCAGTTAGAGGATTAAGCCCTCCTGTTTCTTTTGCCGAGAAGGGCGTATACCCACAGGCTGCGGTGTCCCTTCCCTTATTTATCTGCTACAAGTAACCGCTTGGTCATCCGACCCCTCTGCCATTTTGGGGTTCTCTTGGGAGGCGATGACTTTGCCTCCAGGGGATCTTGCCTGTTGTAGACACCACAGTGTTGTACTGAAGCTACCAGAGGAGTGAGAGGATAAGGGGGAGTTGCAGTTTGAGGAGGGGAGGGGTGTTACAGTTTCCCCATTTCAAGTTCTTGCTTTCTCTTGATAGGGAAATCTCGGGCTCAGCAGGGATATGAGTACACTCTGAGAGTGTGAGGAAACTTGACAGCGGCAAGGACAAGGGACTCGGGGTGAAAGGGGTGGGTTTCCTGCCTTTTCCCATTCTCCTACACTACCTCTGGGGCAGCATAACTGGGGGACAGAAGACATTGGACATTGCCGGAGATGGTCTGAGAAACTACGACTGTCTCATTGAATGGAGACATTTGTTAGGATGAGAGGGGGGCCATTTTCCAATTTACCAATGAGGGATTTATAGGCGTGTGGCCATTATGCTGTCTCATTTTAATTCTGTTACCGTAGGCCTATGAACAAAGGCCTTGAGGGGAGTTAGCCCCTCACTCTGCTGTCTCTTTGCAGGTCTCAATGACCTGAGGCCCTTCGGAGGAGGAACTACTGTTGCTCATGTTGGTTTTGTTACCAGGAGAGTCTTTGTAGGCCCTTGGACACGGTCTTTGGTGGTCAGTCCCCTCTGCGCTTCTTGGGAGGGTGTAGCTGAGCCTTCTGTTTCGGCAGCTTAAGTCGTCCCCCTTCCCCTCATTCTCAGGCCCTGCAGGGTCCCCGGGGACGCATTCCTGAACTGCACAATTACCCAGAGCCTTGTCTAGCTTTTGAAAAAGATTTGCCTCCTGTGCAGGGAGACCGGGAACCCACATTCAGAAGTTTTCTGAAGTCAGTGTTCTCAGAAAAGGGAAGGGGAGGTCCTTTGCCTCCTTTGAACAGGGGTCACTTAACTTATAGTTCTTATTTTATTTGCCCTTATGACACGCTAGCAGGAGATACCAGGTCCCCTTGGGATTTGCGCCCTCCCCTGACTGGTGAGTCCCCAGCGCTGGCCACAGTTAGCGAGGCCTACGCTGACAACTCCCTCGAGAGCTCTTGGTGCCAACAGCACCCAAGGGACAGTTCCTCAGTCCGAGCAGGGCTTCTCCTCCAGCCTGCTGCGGCTTTTACCCCTGCCTGTGTTCTCAGGGGGAGCCCTAGCTGGGCCACAGAGCCCACTGCAGTGAGGTTTGAAACTACAAACCTTGTTTAGGGACAGTTCAGGTTGATATGCTGATGTCAGCCGTCCACTGACAAGTTGAACTGTGCTATTCCTCTCACACCCTCCCTTTCCTGAGTGCCCTGGAGCGGCAGAGGGGTGATCTGTCTCCTTTGTGAGACGCAGGACCGGACAGAATACTTGGAGGGGAGGCTTCGGACGCTGCGTTATGGAGCCTTAGTGTGGAGGCCTCTCAGAATGTGTGGGAAGGGGGCACCTGGGTGGCTCAGTGGGTTAAAGCCTCTGCCTTCGGCTCTGTTCCTGGTCCCAGGGTCCTGGGATCGAGCCCTGCATCGGGCTCTCCACTCAGCGGGGAGCCTGCTTCCTCCTCTCTGCCTGCCTCTCTGCCTGCCTCTCTGCCTGCTTGTAGTCTCTGTCAAATAAATAAATCTTAAAAAAAAAAAAAAGAATGGGTGGGAAGAACGTGCAAAACGTTGCTCTCTCGGACCGCTGATGAGATGCCTCTAGGCCCCTTGGGTTTGAGTTGACCCCCTCTGCCCCGCCTGCTGCCTCCAGGAGTGCAGCCTGTGGATTGGACTGCTGCCCAGCGGGCCGCCCCTCAGCTTAGATTGGATTTTCATCCTGCGCCCCCCTTGTCTCCTCTGCTCATGCAGACCTACCGTATTGCTTCTCAGCTTAGAAAAGGACCGGCTGCCCCTCACCTGAGGTTTGGTTTTCGTCCTGAGCCCCCCTTGTCTCCTCTGCTCATGCAAACCTACCGTATTGCTTCTCAGTTTAGAGAAGGACGGGCCGCCCCTCACATGAGATTGGGTTGGCTTCCTGAGCCCCCCCTTGTCTCTGCTCATGCAGACCTAACGTATTGCTTCTCAGCTTCAGAAAAGGGTAGCCGTGGGCTGTGTTCAGGGACTCCCGAGGAGAGTTCACTGATTGCCTCAGCCTCCCCGGTTAGTCAGACACAGTAACCTTACAGAATGCTGAAAGGCCTGTTGCAGAAGCCAGTCTTCTGTCTGCTCAAGGACTATAGGTTGTCGCCTTGGGGGGCTGACCCACAGGATGCGGAATATGGTTACAGGCCGGAGCCAGACACCAGGCTTCTCCTCCAGAGCTCAGAGGAGACGCAGACTGAGCCATTTGTGAGTTTAAGCCCCGTGTTGGGCTCCCTGAGCCTACTTAAAATAAAATAAAATAAAATAAAATAAAATAAAATAAATGTAAAAAAAAAACCCCTCCCATGTGTACAGATGAGTGCTCCCCTCAAATGTTTTTAGATTTGCAAACTGAAGGGGAAGGAAGTTTCTGTCCAGGGAAATGGGAAATTACTGCTTCTTTATTATTGCTTTGTCAGTATTGTTCCATTTACATGTGGCATTTGCCCTGGCGATGTATAAGGGTAACCTTTAGTCTGTAGGATTTTCCACTTCATTGAGTCACAGCAGTTCTACAGAAGCCGTGAACTTCACCTGGAGGACTTGGACTCAAGGAGCAGCCCTGGGCCATCAGCTGTTTGTCATCGGACCAGAAACTGACTTTGGCTTAATGTGACTTTGGGATTGGCCTGGATTTGGGGTTGTCTTCATGGTTCACAGTTGTGCTTTTGTGCTCATGCAAGAAATCTGTGAAAATATTTTGTATATGAGAACATGTCAGAATGTGTCTATGTACTGTACTTGTGCAGAATGGAGGGCAGTAGTCTCGGGCTGCTGGGTCTCCCCAGTAGGCACTTTTCTCTGAGGCTGTGTCCCATACCCTTCTGTCTACTATGTGACTGAGTTCCCTGGCCATAGCTACTTGGTTTCATACTTTTCACCTTATCAGAGTTGAGCCAATGATACTTTTGTTATATTTAGAGTTTGGGACTAGGCCCCAAGAATGAGTGATAGCTCA